TTTTTCTCCATCCCCGTCCCCAGCGGGGTTTTTGGGGAGGATCCTTGGGTTTTAGGGAATTTTGGAAAAGCTGGATTTGGGCCTGGGGGGTGGTGCCGATCCCAAAAAATGACCACGGGGATTTGGGATCCCGAGGGATTCGGGATCGGAATTTTGGGATAATTCCAGAACCGTTCTCGATTCCCAGGATTTTGGGGAAAACTCCAAATTCGGGGCCATTTTCCAGCTGGGATATTCCCAGAAATGGGGGAAATTTGGGAATTTGGGGTTCTGAGCGGATTTTGGGCAGATCCCGGGAAGAGCAGGTGGCTCCGGCCCTCGCCCCGTTCCCATTTGGAATCACAAATTTGGGATTTTCTCCCCAAAATCCCGGCGGCTTTGAGGGAGCGCCGAGGTGGCGCCGGATTTTGGGATCACGGCATCCCGAGCCGTTGGATTTTTGGGGTGCCGCTCGTGGAATATCCCAAAAATCTGCAGCCGGTTGGAGCACCTGGAATGAAAAACCTGGATTTGCTCGGGATTTGGGATTTGGGATTTGCTCGGGACTTGGGATTTGGGATTTGCTCAGGATTTGGGAATTGTTCCAGGTTTGGGATTTACTCTGGATTTGGGATTTGGGATTTGGGATTTGCTCGGGATTTGGGATTTGGGATTTGCTCGGGATTTGGGAATTGTTCCAGGTTTGGGATTTGCTCGGGATTTGGGAATTGTTCCAGGTTTGGGATTTGCTCAGGATTTGGGATTTGGGATTTGCTTCAGGTTTAGAATTTGGGATTTACTCTGGATTTGGGATTTGCTCTCAGTTTGGGATTTGCTCCGGATTTGGGATTTGCTCCAGATTTGGGATTTGGGATTTGCTCTGGATTTGGGAATTGTTCCAGGTTTGGGATTTGCTCCGGATTTGGGATTTGTTCCAGATTTGGGATTTGGGATTTGCTCCAGGTTTGGGATTTACTCTGGATTTGGGATTTGGGATTTGCTCTGGATTTGGGAATTGTTCCAGGTTTGGGATTTGCTCCGGATTTGGGATTTGCTCCAGATTTGGGATTTGGGATTTGCTCCGGATTTGGGATTTGTGCTGGATTTGGGATTTAAGATTTGCTCCAGGTATGGGAGTTGGGATTTGGGATTTGCTCCAGATTTGGGATTTGGGATTTGCTCAGGATTTGGGATTTTCTCTTGGTTTGGGATTTGGGATTTTGCCCCGGATCTGGGATTTTCTCCGGATTTGGGATTTGGGATTTTGCCCTGGATCTGGGATTTTCTCCGGGTTTGAGATTTCCTCCAGGTTTGGGATTTGGGATTTTGCTCCAGATTTGGGATTTTCTCCAGGTTTAGGATTTTCTCTGCGCTTGGGATTTGGGATTTGCTCC